CGGCCGCGGAAGATGGCGGGCCACCGGCCAGGATGCACATCAGCGTCCACGTTGAGGTCTCCAATCCCGTGTGCCCTGACTTTGCGCTCAACTTCGAGTGCTCGGCTTGGCCCAAGGAGATGGACGTGGAGATCGTCTTCCCCGTCCGGCGCACTGGGCAAACGCCGGAGCTCCTCCACCACCGCTGCTCCCTACTGCCCGTGCTCGCATCACCATCGAGCAGTAGCTCCCGACATCGACGTCGCCATGAAGGCCGCCGCCACTGCCGCCGTGCAGTGCGAGGCCAAGCCCGACCCGGAGCTGGTGCACCCAGAGCTCGTGCTAAAGTCCGACATGGTGTACAGCGAGCAGGCCGCTGGAGCTCCCCTGCTTCCCAACCATGCACAAGAGGTGTTTGTTGAAATGCCAAATAGAGAGAGGAGGACGAGGTTGATGCTGACGTGTGGGTCCCACCTGTCATAACGGTCAACTTCATGGTCAGAATAAATGGAGTTGACTTTGCCACCACGTCAGCCCTGACGGGTGGGTCCCATATGTCATAAACATGTTTAAAATCTCTAAAGTGGCCATTATTCAAAAGTGGTAGTTTTTAGTCACAAAATTAGAAATTTTCGGTAGTTATTAGTCACTTTTTCGAATGTGGTAGTTCAGTGGGACGGATACCCCTAATGTGGTAGTTTTTTGTCAAATACTCGTGTTAGCTGTCTACGTATAGGAAAAGGACTTTGTCTAGTCGGTTGGTAGTTGCATATATATATGCACAAACCTGCATGAAGATTGTAACATCGTGGCTAAGAAAGGAGAAAAGGAAATAAAGAGAAAGAGAGGCACGACACGTGTTTTTGGCAAAAGTTATTGTGTGCGCGTCTTTGTCGTGATTTGATGTGATCAATCCTGTGGGCAAAATTCCAACAATTGGTATCTAGAGCAAAGTTTAGGATTTGAAGCCACGCTTGCCCCGGGGTAGCGACCCGACTAGCGCCTCCGGGCGGGTGATATGGTCGCTGGGTGCTGCAGCGATGAGGATCGGGAGATTGTCTTTCGGCGGAGCGACATGGAGGAAGACGGCGGGATGTCGTTGGCAAGGCGGCGGATGGAGATCGTTGACAGGAGCGGTGGTGCGGTGATGCGGTGCCGGAAAGTCGTCAAGATCATCATCCGGGAGTTAAGAGTCAAGGAGTCGTGCGAGTTTGCGCGACTGGTTGTCGTCACAGTCGGTCAGTTGTCGTCGTCGTGTCTGCGTCGTCATGTCCAAGTGCTCGTCTCTGTGAGGAGGCGTTGAAGATGAAGCCCAGGTCGTCTATGTGTCTCGATGAGAGGATCAAGTTCAAGTATGTGGGGGCGGTAAAACAGTGAAGGTGAGTCTCTTCAATGAGGCCATGTCTCTACATGAGGCTGGAGTGCATGGTGTAGTGCACAGGGTGGTGAGATCCACAAGGAGTCAACATGTATCTCGCTAGGGTGGATAGTGTAGTCCACCGGGTGGTGTATTCCACAGGTTACTAGTGAGGTTGGGTAGTCCAAAACATATTTGAAGTGGTCCGCAAATTCGCCAAGTCAAGATTGGGGAGAGAATGTTGACAACAACAATCTAGCCGGCAATTTGACTTGTCGTCGTGCGAGCGGATGAGTCGATAAAGGGTGAATCATCAACGAGCCAAGACCGGAGAAGCACAAAGACAAAGAATCAAGATTAAGGAGAGAATGTTAGATAATCTTGTCTAGGTTTGCGTTGTAGCAGTACATGTCCTGTGTAGAGTCTCTACTCCTAATGTCTCAGTTGGTAGTCCGCGTTCCGGCTTTTATTTTCGTCCCACCTAATATGGTCTTTTTTAGTACTTTTTTGGTACTTGCTCCCACCTCCCGCTCACCCGCTAAAAACCAGAAAAACCATGTCGCGATGCCCCTGCAGTCCAGGGCCGCACCTCCCATCGCACCCATCTACAAGCGAAAATTAACCAACGAAATAAAACCTACGAACATTAACCAGCGAAAAAAACCCTAACCAAACGCACGCACGACTCTCCTGGCCTCCACTCGCACGCACGACTCACTGCCCTCGTTCGCCGCCGCCCTCCATCCCTTCGCTGCCGCCCTCGCACATCTAAGCCGCCGCCGCTCAGGATCTCCTCGACCAGCCCCACCTCTTGCGTCGGCCGCCACCGGCGTGCCTCCGCCTTGTCTCCCCCATCGACCCTCGAGCACCTCCTCGTCGTTAAGTCCTTGCACGCGCCCCTGTGGCTAACCCTAGCCGCCGAGTTGTGCTGCAGGCAATGAGGAGCGGAGCGAGGCGGGTGTGTCGCTGAGTGGGTGGAGCGGCTGGGGCGTCACGGCGTGGGTGGAGAAGCAGGGGCAGCGGTGGCGCCGTGCAGGGGCGGAGAAGGAAAACGTCCTTCGTGGCACAACCGTCCTTCGTGGCGCCGTGCTAGGGCGTCGCGGCGTGTGGATGGCGGCGCTGGCCCTGCTTTTCTCCGGCCGGTGCGCGTGTTGTTCGCCCCGTCCGCAGGTGCTGCGCGTGCTGCGCCGGCCCTGCTTCTCCACGGCAGGTGCGCATGTTGTGCGCCCCGTGCGCGGGTGCTGCGCTGACTGCTTGCAAATTGCGCGTACGGTGGCCGGCTTGCTAGCTGCGCTTGCTACTTGTACTACGCTGGCTGTATGTACTGATGCGTGTGACTTCTTCTTTGATTTTCTTTCCAACGTGCTAATCTTGTTTTGTTGATTTTTTTGAGCCGCAGCAGTTCAGGTCAGAGGTCACCAAAACCCATATCCATTATTACTGGTTGGTCCGGTGTCATGGAGCAAGGGCCGCTGGTTCCTCCGTCGTGGGTGGAGGTGCACCATCGAGGAGCAGCAGGGATGGAGGTGCACCATCCAGGAGCAGCAGGGATGGAGGTGCACCATCGAGGAGCAGCAGAGGAGGAGTTGCAGCATCGAGGAGCAGCAGGAGAGGAGGTGCACCATCAAGGAGCAGCAGGGGAAGAGGTTTTGTCATAGATGAGTGGGCGGCGGGCGGATTCAGGACTGGATTTTTACTTTTTGAGACGGAAATACATAAATTCTTAGGTCAGTAACAATAAATCTGATGGTTGCATGCATCTCACTATATGATCGTTAGGTTAATAGTACTCCAGAGAGAATTTCATTTGTATGTTCTTCAGAGTAGAGGTTGATTCATGAAACATTTGTCTAAGCCACACATATGTTATTTTCACGTCGACTGATTGTAGGTACTTTGACTTTAGAAGGGATACTTGCCCCTTTGGCGGACGATGTTTTTACAAGGTATACATATGCTGATCTCGTTTCAGATTCAAATCTATCATCACATATACTTCTTACATAATGTGTGAATTCTCAACTGAAACTTTGACCAATGCCTAGATTGATATTTTGCCTGTTGTTACCTTCTCATACTTAATGTGCAACAACAGTTCTGAATGAAGCCTAATTAAAATACTAAAGGCAGTAAAAACATAACTGCTGATAATAAGCCATGCAAATAATTGGTCATAGTTTGAACTAGCACCTCTAAATAATATTGTAAGTTTTCTGCAATCAGTGCTAGCTTAGGTGACGTGGAACGTTAAGAGTAGTTGATTGGTATGTTCATCAAAGCCAAGCTTTGTAAAATAGGGACTGTCAGATGGCCTTGGAATATAACCATTGTAATTTGACTCATGTAATGAACTGTGCATATGGTGGTTATCTTCTCCTTTCTTTCAGTATTCAATTGTCTATTTTCCTATGCTCTTTGCTTCTTCGGTTTGACTCGTGCAATACTGTATGTTCTCCAGCATGCCTACACCGATGGGCATTTGGAGGAGCCGGCAACGGTGGCAGTGCTTCATTTTCATGCCGACAATTGAAGTATGGACCAGCAAGAAATATCGAGTTGGTACTCTCTATTAGTCTCCTCTATATAATGTATAACCTCTGCTTGCTTCTCATAGAAGATTCTGATGTATAAACCTCTCCTTGCTCTCTAATAGAAAATTGTGTTCGAACATGCAGATTGGCATACTTGCTCAGAAGGTTACAACTGTAGGTAAGGCATCAAACTATATGTCTCAAATTAAGGTTTGTTTTTGGTTGGATGCAATTCTTTCAATAACATTCTTCTACAAATAAACTGAGGTTGCAATTATCTGACCATGTATTTTTGAATTTTGTTTTCCATTGAACAATCAAAACATCCAGAAGGAAGCGGTTGAGAAGACACTTAGGGGATGATGTCGATCTTGCACATTCAGCTTTATGTATGTAGTCTCACTCTCATCTTATTTAGTTTATTTATAGTAGTTGAACAAAGAAATATAGCCTCTTAGGATCTAAATCAGCAATTGTAAAATTGATCGATACTTGTGCTCGCTCATAGCAGATGTTAAATTGCTTTATTTTACAGTACATTTGGATGTCGGAGTTCGTTGCAATACCACATAAGCATCATTTGAAAGCTTGATTTTGTCATTTAATGTATGTGTCCTTATAATATTTTCACCTACACTAGCATTTTACCTACTCCTATTAATATACAGTAGCAAGCAAGTCCTTGACTCCTTTAGGAGTATTCAGTAAGACTAAAAAGCTGAATATATATTAATGCCTTCAGGTAAATGTTTCTTCGTGTACCATATATGGCAGTTTGGTAAAAAATAAGAAAACAACGGAGCAAATTAAAATATAATTATGCTTATCAAAAAGGTAGAAGGTAATCGATGAGCAAACATATTTACATTCTAATTTTTTTTTGTTTTCTTTTCTTGATATGTTATTTCCTTTGCTGATCCTTCTCTTCTTCATATGAACAGGCCCCCAGCTAGATTGACGAGAAAGTTTATTTTGCACATGGTCTTTCCTGGTTTTGTCCTTGTAGCAAGAAGTACTTTTTTATAACAATATCAGCTTTGCTCTGTTGTGTGCAATGATTTCATTTAGGTACAGACCCCCTCCCCCATTCATGGAAGTTACTTCTTTTCAGACAGAGAATGATTATTAGTTTTTATATGGATTTAGAGCACATAAATAATTAGCTCCCATTTTAAGTTTGGTTTTAGAGTTAGCCTTCCACTTCTGTCCATATCTTTCTTGCTGCCCATATTAATGACCACATATTTTTCAGTCATTGTAGTTGCCCATATGGACGATGGTTTATTTTAGCCTCGAAGACCTTGCTGGTACCAGATCCAACGGGGAGGAGATTGCTGAGGCGGCTGATTCCTATGCGCTATGTGAAATTGATGGTTGACTTGATTGAGGAGTTATGAACTTTCTCAAATCCTTAAGAGGTTTGCACATCCTTTTCCCTTGTTTTGCTTCTGAAATTGTCGTGAGATTACTTGCTACCTTGCAGCATAGCTGTCCAATGTTTTCATAAAGAAATTTTTTTTGGCGTATACTTTGGTATTTCTACAAGCACCTGTCTTTGTAGTGTGGAAAAATAAATAAATTAGTTCAATCATTAG